ATAATTTTAATATATCATCGTAGTCTCTCATATATAATATTTAAAAATTAAACTCATTTAAAGAGTTAAAATTAAATTCATCTTAAATGGCTAAAAATGTAATTAAATCAAAATTTAAATAGGGGTCACGCAAAAAGTAAAAGTAAAATTGGCAAGATCATAAACTTTAGTAATCTGAATTTTTTAATAGTTTGTCTATGATCTGTTGTATTAATAAATTATAATCAGTGGCGTGTCCTTGGTTTGTTTGTCTATTTATATGTTGACGATGTTGTTACTAGGTAGCAGTGCTATTTTGTTTCGGGGTAAGTAAGATTTGTTGATATTTAATTCCTATAGTGTTGTTGGTCGTGTTTATCGGATCCGAGTCTCAATCTAGAGAGAGAATTTTAAATTACGGTGGCTCTTGATCGAGCCTTGGCTATGAAAAATAAGAGGTATGAATGTTTAAGCCAATTTAGAAATGAACAATGGAGGGGCATGAGAGAAGGGTTAGTAGTGAAACGAAATATCTGATGTAACTGATGTGCACCACTCCTAATTAAATTAACGTTTTTTGAATTTCCCTTTTGAAATTCATCAATGCTGGTTGCTGGGGGTTTTGGTTCCTTTTAATTAATATTCGAATAATTTTTCCACACATTGTTTTCCTACAAAATTCCCTTCATTTGTTGGATCTAACCACATTCTGCTGTTTCCTTTTCTTATTTATGGAGGGGCCTATGATGATGACCACGTGTGACTGTTTTGGCATGACTTACTTAACTCAAGATTCTCTTATAAAAAAAGGAAACTCTTCAAATTATAGTGTAACACTGCATTGCAAAGATGTGATTTAGATAAGTTCCAAATTAATTCTGTGATGATCAATTCTGTCAAAGTGTAAACCAGAGTTTGGAATTTAGTGGTACGGTCAAATTAGAAAGAAAAAAAAGTACTTTGTAGGGAAAAAGGTGAGTTTGGGTCTACCATGAAGAACTGGGTGATGTATAGATGGTGATTTGACTTGATCGGCATCTTAAGGTGGTAGTGATGTGAGTGAGTGGCTGTGTGAGTGCCACACCTTTAAACCACAATTTATTTGTACTCTTGCAGGGACTGGACCCATTGGCAGTGTCTGCTGTATTCTGTGCGGCGCAATACATGGGAGAAAAAGAAATCTCAGGCATGGATTGTTTCGTGCTAAAGCTTTCGGCAGATCAGAAGGACCTGGTTGACCGGAGCGACAACACTGCTGAGATGATAAAGCACGTTGCATTTGGTTACTTCAGCCAGAAAAATGGACTACTGGTGCACCTAGAGGACTCTTACCTCACCAGGATTCAATCCCCTGGGACGCACCCCACCTATTGGGAGACCACTATGTCAACAAAAATTGATGATTACCGAATGGTGGATGGCGTGATGATTGCACATGCTGGCCATTCAACCGTGATCATCACAAGGTTCGGGGACAATCTAAAGACTGGCCCTGCCATCACTCGGTTGGAAGAGTCGTGGACCATTGATGATGTTGCATTCAACGTCCAAGGTCTGTCGATGGACTGCTTCATACCCCCCAAAGAACTCAACAAAGACTACCCTCAAGAACATCTAGATTGGAGATCACCCTTGCATACATGATCCTTCGTCCCACCAAATCTTACTTATAATGCTAACTAACTGTTACTCAACGTATAAAGTATATGTAGATTGCTTTGTAATTGTGTATTACTGATTTTCGTCATATATAACAGATTTGGACTGGTAATTGTGTCTCTCTGCCATGTGATTCGGGGCATCCTTGGTGTCTGTCGGGTATTATTTGTCCGTAGAATGTTGCTTTTTTTCGGTTCCTTGTATTGAAATAGGCTGGATTTGTGCCCGGTTTGTTGGGTACCTTTTGGCTGCTTTAGACTGATGTAAAGAACTGTAAAACTCACGTTCTTATGCCAGTTGATTGTCTCATATGTTAGTCACCTTTTTCTTTGTCACAATTTCATGCGAATCGTGTTATGTCACTGGCTAAAGTTTCAAAGGTTAGTATAAAAGTTTGGTTTAAAGCCTTTATTGTCCTATTTACGTGGTTTTTTCCAGTTTGATCCTCGACTTATTAGAATCTCCAATTGAGTTCTTAAAAGTACTAATTTGAGTCAATTGAGCTCCTGCCGTTAAATTTAGTTAACGGGGTTAAGTTTTTGTACAGATGGGAGGTTGATGTGTAATTTTTTGAAATGTGGCATGCTGATGTCAAAGTAATGTGCTTGTGAACCTCTCTAATTGTTTTTTCCAATTTTTCATATAGTCACTAGAGTTCATCACGCTCCATCACCTCCTTCGTAGTACCAACGATGCTCGTCCCCCCACCACCAACGCAAATCCTCACGCCACCGATTGGGCCTGGGTCACTACCCTGAAGCCATTGACGCAAACAGAAGAAACCCTCGTCGTCAGTCGTGCTAGGGTCGCTGTCATCCGCGAACAGCCCTTGTCGTGACCAGGTCTGCAGCCGTCAGCCACCGCACCAGAGAATGAAAGAGGCTTGTCCATGACAGAACGAAGAAAGCGACGCTGCTCCATCGTAAGCGACGAACGCAAGCAAGCCGCCAGCCCACCTAAATTGCAAAACAGAGTCGCGACTTTACACATCTCGTCGTTGTCGAACCAGATTGAGGGAAGAGGAAGAAGGACGAAGACCAAAGACCGCCACTGAAGGAATAAACCAGAAGCTCCGTCCTTCGTCGATGACGAACCAAGTCGAAGAAGTCGAACCAGAAACACAGAAAGCCCCAAATCTCTTTGCACCAGAAACCCGCGACTTCGCTCATCTTCCAAATTTAATCCCAAATTGAATCCCAATACTTTAAATCCCAAATTTCTCTCAGATTTTTAATCCTAAATTGAATCCCAAATTCAATTTTATTGAACCCTAAATCCCTTTTCAGAAATCCATATTTTTTCTCAACTTAAAAAAGAGCCTAGTCATGTTTTCTCGGTGCCAACCACAATTTTGAGCACGAGTGGCTTGTAATCAGCAGATTTGTAGTTTTTGACATTGTGATATAAGCGGGAGTTACTGTGAGCAGCACTCGTGGTTCTTTGGAGAAGATGAAGATTTGGGCACGAAGAGACCATTTAGATTAGAATTGATTTTTTTTTTTAAGTTCAGAAAAAATATGTTTTTGGCCTCTCTAAAAACTTTAGTTTAGTCTTGCAATTTTTTTTTTTCAGAAATTCATATTATTATAATTTTACAAGTTGTCAAATTCCACGTCTCACCATGCCACGTGTTCAAAAATTGACACATCACTCTCCCATTTGTGCAAAAACTTAACCCCGTTAATTGACTCAAATTAGCACTTTTAAGAAATCCATCAGGAATTCTAATAAGTCGGGGATCAAACTGGAAAAAACCTAGATGGACAACTAAAAAGTTTAAACCTAAAAGTTTAAAAGTTTTTATGTCAGTCTGGTTGAGTTTTGTTTGGTTAGAAATAAGAACATGATAAAGGTTTAAATTAGTTTTTTTTTTATTTTGGTTTAATTTGGTCTTTTAATTTTATAAATATGTAAATTTAATTTTTTTAACCAAATTTTATTTATATATTTAATATATTTCTGTTTTAATATTAAAAAAAAATATGTTTAAAATGTTAAATAAATTTAATAATATTTGATTAAAAAATTAAATTCTTAAAAAATTAAATTCTTAAAAAATTAAATAGAATCAAAATTTGAAAAAGAATGAATTTCAATTTTCACTTAATATAATTTAGAAATCAATATATATTTAATCTTATATATATATTTGAAATTTAAATATTTTAAATTTTGACGATTTAAATTAAAACACATCAAATCATAAATCATTCAAATATCATCATAAAATATTGTTTTGTACGTAAAAAACATTTAACATATGCAAATTATAATAATTATATCTATTCAATTTTAAATTTTGAAATCAAAATATAATAAAATAAAAAATAATTTTAACATAAGAATTACAAATATATTAAAGTTATATATTAAACAATTTTTTTTAGAGAGCAATTGGATTTAAACCTACCATCTTAATAACACTACTACATATTGAAAATGTTGAGATCGTGATCAATCATTCGGTTGATCAAATTCAGTTCTGCAAAGTGACGTTTTAAGTGCGTTTTAAAGCGATTTTAGTTTTGAAATTTGGCTTTATTGAAACATGTAGTCAAGATGTTAGAAGGAGAAAATTGATTTCATTGAAACGTACATTTTAGTTAAAATGTATTTTTAATTAAACACATGATTATTTATGAAATGTCAGATGATACCACAACACTACTGATATGACAAATATAAAACGAAAACATCATATTAACATATCCTAAATGTATCTTTGTGTTACAATTACGATCGATGGTCCTATCTTACATCAAGTCAAGCCAATGTTTTTATAAATTGTATAAAAGGATATAAAATAATATTCAGCTATAACGTTTGAATTTAAATTATTTAAAACTAAAATTTAACGGATCAATCTATTTAGATAAATATTAATATTATTCTTTTGCTAGATTTTTTTTCAAAATATAAAAATTGCATATTCATTCATCTTTATTAATATTGAAGATGTTTAATTTATGTAAACAAAGGTCAAAATTTTAGTTTATTGAAAGATAAATTTGCATTATATATTATTATTATAAAATATACTTTTAACTTCTTACTATAAAGGCCGATTGAAGCTTAAAAATAAGTTTATATTACATATGAACAATGTACACTTAACCTTATAAAGTGTAAACTATCTATTTTTTCACTGTCCCCATACTTGTAGTGGTAATAGTTATAATTTTCATAATTTATAACTATTTTTCAAAGAATTTTTACGATTGACTTATTGGTTGACCAATTAGTCTTTGAATTTGTTAAAAGAGGAGCCACGGTATTTAGAAAAAGCAAAAGTCAAACACGAATATCGATCCACAGAACATAAAAGCAGTTTTTATTTTATTTTTATGCAACAGTGAAAAAGTTAATACAGCAAGGTTAATTCACAAATTCCTATACAATACATGGATAATTTAGATTTTTTTTTTCATACATGTGAAAAAGTGGGAAGAAGGTATCAAGGTTCTAAAAAAGTTTTCTCAAATATTATATGTTAAATTGAACGATACAATACAAACCAATTATTCATAAATAGATATACATAGATACAACCCAATAAAGTGATGCAAACTAACTTCGGGCCATGAAGTCAACAATGGGCATACATGGATACTGGTAGTGGGCTTCCTCCTACACCCCCATTGTTTTCTTCGTGCACCTTCAAAGTTTCAAAACGACAAAATCCGGTTAATTGTGAGGGGTGGAGCACCGGATTATAAACTCTGGTCATATGAACTGCGCAGCTACTAATGCTGGTAAATGGCTACTGTTAGCTCTTTGACCAACATACAAAATAATACAAATAGTAAAATGGAAATATGAGGACTGTCTTTTTAAGAAACTTTATGTAATACTAAATAATCGCATAATCAATAACTAGACTAAATAATAATTTTATAATTTGAAGTTATGTGTAAGAAAGTAAATTGATATAATATAAAGTAAAGGTAAACTTTGGAAGTTAAGCATTAGATGATAGAAAATATTAGCAACATGGAATGGTATTGTTGGAGTTAGATTTTATTCCTTCACTCATGCATATAAACATATAACTTCTCTTCATTAAAATGCTAAAATCAATCCATAAGTTTACCCAAACCACGATCTCTTAATAAAATGAGTCTCGGTTTCTTTATTTAAAATCAATTCCTAATAAACAAACTCATTCTGTGAATTAGAGTTTAAGACAACTAATGAATCAAACTTCATTTCTATATACAAGCTTCATAGTATCTTGTTTTAGTTATAACTTTCAAAATATATTTTCCAACACCTAATAAACAGAGTATCAATTGAGTGGTCAAACCAAGCAAAAATACAATAATACTAACATTTAATGGACAAGGCATATATATATAATTTAGGGAACCAATGTTACAATATGATTTTTGTATATACACTTCACAATCACTAGAAATTGTTAATCTTTTGATCTTGTAGATCTTCTTAATGTTGTTTTACTATCTTGATGAGAAACTTGTTGTTCAATTGGTTTCTCAACAACTTGATCTATCTCCAACAATTTGTGAACACACGAATAACTAGCTTCTTAACATGCTATTGAACTAAAGAAGCATGAATGACTATCAATCTATCATTTTATTAAGAGGATTGAACTTCATTACGATTATTCTCAATTAAATCACTTCCCTTAATCAAGTCATTTATAAGAGACTTTATATTTCTTGATTCCACGATTATAGTGTTATGAGATGGATAATAAAAAATTACAACATTTTACACTTTTTAACATATCTAATGAAATGTTAACTAAAAGTCTTAGGTTCTAGTGTCTTCTTTTATAGATTATAAAATGTCACTTCAGACGAGCATCCATAAATGCGTATATGTTGTAAGTTGGGTTTCCAACCTTTGAGTAACACAGAAAGTGTTCTTAAAACATCTTGGTTAAAACTCAGTTCACTATATACACAATTTAAGTATTTCAATCCACAATAATTTAGGAAGTTTTGCATGACTCCTCATGTTTCTCACCATATCTCTTAAAATACGATTTCTTCTTTCTACCACAAGATTATGATCTAGAGAACCATACATAGTGTATTGACAACAATCCCATGTTCTTGATTTTATTTTTTGCAAATGGATCAGGTTCATGTGCACTGATAATGTATCTACCATGATACTCTTCACGTATATCCAATCTCTTGATCTTAAGTTGCTTTTGGGACTACAACTCTACTTCGGCCTTAAAAACTTTAAAGACATATAAGTTTTCATCCTTGGAATGAAATAAGTAAATATACAAATATTGTGAATAATCATATATAAATGTGATGAAATATCTCGAA